TCTACTAAGTGAGGTATCCCAAGAATGGAAAGACAAGCACCACATGTACTCACCATCAAATTGGTATTAACTGATCAACACATAAGTGCACATGTAAGAATAACATCTATTGGATGTTGGGCAGGGGGGAGGGGAGAGGAGGGAGGAGGGGACGGGTATATGCATACACAAAGAGTGCAATGCGTACCACCCGAAGAATAGACATATTTGAAACTCGGACTTAGGGGGGTAAGGGGGCCAAGGGCAACATACGTAACCTAAACATCTGTATCCCCATAATATGCTGGGATAAAAAAAAAAGTAGTATCCCTCACACCTGTAATCCTAGCACTCTGGGAGGCCGAGGCAGGAGCATGACTTGAAGTAAGGAGCTCAGCACCAGTCTGAGCAAGAGTGAGACCCCCATGGCTACTAAAAATAGAAAAAATTAGCTGGGCATGGTGATGCGTGCCTGTAGTCCCAGCTACTCAGGAGGCTGAGGCAGAAGAATTGCTTTAGCCCAGGAGTTTGAGGTTGCAGTGAGCTAGGATGATGCTATTGCACTCTATCCTAGGTGACAGAGGGAGACTCTGTCTCAAAAAAAAGAAAAAAGAAAAAAGAAAAAAGAAAAAAAAAGTAGGACCTCAATTGAAAAGGCAGCAGTCTTATGATAATCTAAATTTTTATCACAATCAATAACCAAATTTCCTTGACTTTCAAATATGTATCTATTTCTTCTACATCTAGATTTGACTTTCTAAGAGACCTCACTTGCCATTCTACTTGTCTTAAACTGTCTATATATAATACCTCTAATTTTTCTTAATCCACTCACTCTCTATAAACCAAATTATTTTTCTCTGTTCTATTGACACTGTTTTCTTGAAGAAACAAGAATCTTATGCTTTTTCTGGTAGCTTTGCTCCATTCACATTTTGCTGCGTCCCAATTGAGTCTCCTTGAAATTCTGGGCTCCAAAAATACACAATTTAAATTGGCAGTCTTTTTTCCTCTCATATCCTAATTATGAGGACTTTCTATTGCCTAGTGACTAGGTCCCTTTTTTTCAGCCTATAAATATTCCCCTCTATCTTCCTCATTCTATCTTTTACTTCTATGTTGATGAGATCAGAAAATCTCAAGTCTAGTCCTTCAAACAAAATTCAGTTTTATATCTGCAACTACCTAAAGGAATTTCACTAATTCTATAAGAATCGTTGAGGTTCTACTGAGAACCAGGCACCTGAAGTAGATGCTAGGAATAAAATGTTGAGCAAGACATGCCCTCATGAAGCTTCTAGTAAGAGAGACAAAAAAGACTGAACAAGCAGGGCATGGTGGCAAGCTACTGTAGTCCGAGCTATTCAGGAGGCTTAGGCGGGAGGATCACTTGAGGCCAGGAGTTTGAGAAAAAGACTAAACAAACCCCAAATTGTGATAAGTGCTTTCAAGGAAACAAACATGGGGCTGATGTGAAGAATAATGAGAGAAAAGGTCACCTCATACAGACTAGTTGCAGCATCCCTCCCTAAGAAGCTCCAATTTCTCAGCATGAGTGAAAGGGTATTCTAGTCAAAAAATAAGATGGGCACACCACCCTGGGCAGAGAGAGAAGATCAGTGTAGCTGCTTCCCTTGGGTGAAGGGAATGGTATAAGACAAAGTTAGTGAAAAAGACATTATATACCTTGCTAAAGAATTTGTGGATTTTACCCAAGAGCTATGGGGAAACTACTGAAGCAAAAACCATCCAAATTACAACTCAAAATCACTCCTTTATGCACAGCAAAGGAAACAACAAAATAGAAAGACAACCTAGGAAATAGAATATCTGCAAACCATATATCTAGTAAGGGGTTAATATCCAAAATATTTAAGTAACTCCCCCAACAGTAAAAAAAAAAAAAAAAAATTGATTAAAAAATGGGTGAAGGACCTGGACCTTAATAGACATTTTTTCCAAGGAAGACTTACAAACAGGTGCCCAACATTATTAATTGTCAGAAAAATGCAAATCAAAACCACGAGATATCGTTAGGATGGCTACTATCAAAAAGTCAAAATGCAGTAAATTTTGGTGAGAATGCAGATAAAAAGGTAATCCTGTGTTCTTGGTAGGAATGTAAATTTGTACAGACATTATGGAAAATGGTATGAAGACTTCTTAAAATATAACGGCCACATGATCTAGCAATCCCGCTTCTGGGTATACATCCAAAGGAAATGAAATTAAGATCAAAAGAGATATCTGAACTCCCATGTTCACTGCAGCATTATTCACAATAGCCAAGGTATAGAAACCACCTAAGTGTCTCAAGGGATAAATGGGTAAAGAAAAGTGAGTATGTAACAAAATTCACTGGATTCTGCAACATGCTGGCAGTGGGTAGCCTTGACAAGAACCTTTCCCAAGAAGCAGTAGAGAAAAAAAGCTAAACTGGAATAAAGAGTAGACACGGTGGCTATAAACAGCTTCTTGATGAAGGTCAAGTAAATAATGACTTCGATTTAAGTGGGAAGGTGCAATGGGTTTAAAAGTTTTTTTGTTTTATTTTTAGGATGGAAGTTTGGGAAGCCAGGCTTTCCAGAATACTGAAGAGATGAAAGCAAAGATATATTATTCAGGGACACTTGGGCACGGACTCTGTTTTCATTCCTAGGGTACAGATGTGATCCTGTTAATGCTAAATTTGACTCAATAACCAGGTCTGTGAACCTTCCCTTGAATAGAATTATACAAGTTCTGGAATGGTGATGAAGGTCTGAATTATAAAGAGCAACAGCACAGCCAAGAACTCAGCTTCTTTTTGGACTCTGTAACTTGACCTGCAATGCTCCCGGGAGATATTCGTTTGATAATGCAAGAAAAAAGAGGAGATAACCAAAAGATGTGAGCAGGAATGGAATCAGAACTTAAGTGAAAGAATTAGCCTGTAAGAGGCGGCTAATTCTTCCTCTGCTGTCTCAATAGAGAAGATGTGACAGGGCAGAGAAGGACGTTTGGATTTGATAGCTTCTTATAGACCCAGTGAAAAATAATGAGGCAAGGTTTCTAAGAATACATTTTAAGTATGTATTGATTGTGGGAGTTACTCCAGGAATGTTCACTTGATTTCACTATAATTTCCCATCCCATATTCATACTCATAATTTCTAAAACTACATTTATTATTTTCATCCATGCTTTTCTCCACCAAACTTCACACCAGCTTCCAGGTTCCTTGTGTATATGGAAACACTACTTTCCTATGTAAATGTGAAATGATGCTATTATTTTTTATTCATCTCATTTCACCTATCATTTATTGTCAACTTCATCTTATCACATCAATTTTTTTTCCCTTCCTGTTCATGTCCATCTTGATTCTAATTTAGGCACTCCATCTCAACCACTTACATTGTCATTCCATAATTCAGGTTCAACCCCTGTAGTCTTTTAGAAAAACTGTTGTCAATTATTGCTTCATTTATCTTAATCATTGCAAATGAAATTTATTAAGCTAAATGCCAAGTACTGTGCTAAATACTTTATTTACATGATCGTATCTAATCCTAACAACTCCATTAAGTAGGGATTGTTGTTATTTCTATTATCTCTATTTTAACAAATAAGATGAAAATTAAGGCATAGAGATGTCAAGCATGTAACTTGCCCAAAGTAATTTAAGGAGCAGGGCTGAGTCTGATGTTAATGCTCCTAACAACTACAGCACAATGTCTAACCTCATTTAAAATCTTTCACAGATTATTGGTGTTATTATTATGTAAATCTAACTTCTGACTAGCTTTTAAGCCACTCCATAATCTGACACTATTTTATCAATCTAACTGCACTTTGCATTAGTCCTGTACATAGACTACTCTGTACGAGCAATAAATTTACCTCATTGTCCCATAAACAGTTTTCCCACTGCTGCTCTCTTCCATCATGCCTTTCTCTCCCCCAAAATGTCTTCCTTTCCTCTATTTATCCAAACTTTAGCAACCCTTAAAAGTTTCCGCTTAAGTTTCACTTTTTCCAAAACATTTTAACCCTATCATTTCTCTCCTATCTATGAATTCTCAAACATTTTTGCATTATAGAAAACAATTTTTAACTTTTATCATCTTACACTTTCAACCAGCGTATATATCTTTTCTTCCTACCTAGATCACAATAACTCTTTAAGAACAGGAACTAAATGTCAAATTGTTTTTGTATCATGTATAATATGTAATTCAGAGATGAATACAAGGCTCAAACATTTAACTAAGGATCAACCCAGAACATTAAAGAGTAAACAAAAGATAAAAATGTAGTTCGAATCATTATAATGTCTACAAGAATATGATTTTCCATATTTTAATATTTTCTTACTTGAAAATGAAGAAAAGATACTAATTTTTACAGCCCCCCCTTAATGTTTTTTATAATGAGGATTAGATTTCAGTAGGATAGTAGTACTACCAGGGTTAAGGTTTAAAATGTTAGGTCTTTTACCATTCTGCAGTTCTCTATTGGTTTCTGGTCAGTGTACCTTTGAGAACCTTTGTGTTTAATGACCCACACCTACTAGAAAAGGCCACTTCAAGTCAATGCAAGACCACTGTAAATGGAGCAAAGATAGTTAACTAAAATATTAATATAGTATAATTCAGACCATTAAGATACAAGTTTTTCTACAAAATAACACATTCCAAATATTGGGACTTACCTCTTTCAATTATAAAAGCAGCCAATGAATTGCTACATTTCAGATATTGTGAATGATTAGAAATTAGTTGATTAAATGTTTCTTTCACAATCTGTGAAATCTTTGCATACTGAATATGTCTCCCTTCTAGAAAAAATCAAAATATTAATTTGAAGAATACTGTGCTTTCTCCCAGAGGTGTTGTATTATTATTACAAACTTACAATTAAATTCGTTAATAATTTATAGTCATATGTAAACAAATTTATATTTTATGTCATGATGGAGATTTTAAAGTATTCAATTCGAAAAGAACACAAGTTATTGAGCCTTTTTGGATAACTTCTTATAAATAGATGTGTCAGTATTACATACTAGAGGACTACTGATTTGTATTTGTAAAGTTTAATCTGACAAGATATTCAAAAGTCATACAGGACACAAGACAATTCTTTGTTGCATAATAGGACTGTCCCACACATTGCAAGATGACCAACATCCCACTGAATGCCAGTAATCCTCCCCAATCATTGTGACAATCAGAATACACTCCCTTATTACTTGCCCTACAGAACCACTACAAACCACTAAGCATTTAGACTCTTCACATAGTACCACGGTCCCACTAAAAAAGGTTCCAGACTTTGAAAGAGAATGAAGATTATTCTAAGTAACTGGGATTACCATAAAACAGTTTATTACCAAGAATATACATCAAAAGTTACAATGGATTCTTTTTTTTACGACAGAGCTTGAGATTCTAGACTAGGGTCCTGGCAATCTGTTGCTTTGTTTATAAATGACTGTGTATCCCTCGTGAAGAATCATTGTTCTAGAGAATGAGGTTAATACACTTAAATACAGTGTTTCTCAAAGTTTGGTTGAAAACCACTGATGGTTCCTGATCTTTTATGGTGGTTGCTGCTAGTCTATCAAGAGGTTTGCAGTCCATTTAATATTTTCAGAGGGGAAAAAAAAAAATCAATGGAACAATTTTGCTCTCATACATAGTGTATATTTTAAATGTATAACTAATTATGATTTTTACAGAAATTCTTTTTATATGCTTAATAATTGCTTTCTAAAAGGTACATAAATGCTAAAAGTATGACATTAGTCTCAGCTAACATACAACTCACTTCGGTTAGCTCATTAACATGTTCTTGTAATCCCATTAAACTTGCACTTTTCTGTAATTACAAAATGAAGCTCTCAGAGAAAGAAGAATGAACTACTGGCTTTGTTTATCATCAAAAACTCATGATACAAGAGAAAAATTTTCTACTTAGTGATTTCTTTATATTTAATTTTGAAACAAATTATACAGAAGTTTCCCTCTCCAGATGAAATCACTATTATCAATTTCTTATGGATATTTTGAGAAACAATTTATAAACATACATTACTTTAAAATATAAAAAGTGGAGCATGCTAAACACTGCTTTTTATATTTACTTGGTCTTGGACATCAAAAGTGGACATTAGTCCTAGTTCATTCTCCTAATGGTTTCATAGAATGAATGTACTATAATTTATTTAATCATGTCCTCTAGTGTTAAGCAATTATTTTGTGTTATATGCTACAGAAAAAAAAAGTACACTGCAATTAGTGCTGACAGAACTAATTTTTTTTTTTTTTTTTTTGAGACAGAGTGTTACTCTTTTGCCCGGGCTAGAGTGAGTGCCGTGGCATCAGCCTAGCTCACAGCAACCTCACACTCCTGGGCTCAGGCGATCCTTCTGCCTCAGCCTCCCGAGTACCTGGGACTACAGGCATGCGCCACCATGCCCGGCTAATTTTTTCTATATATTTTTAGTTGTCCGATTAATTTCTTTCTATTTTTAGTAGAGACGGGGTCTCGCAACTCCTGAGCTCAAACAATCCGCCCGCCTCGGCCTCCCAGAGAGCTAGGATTACAGGCGTGAGCCACCGCGCCCAGCCGACAGAACTAATCTTGACATATATGTGGCAAGAAAATGTTCTGCTGTGGAATATCATAAAGAACATTTGGGAATCAACCACATACAGATAATATTTCTTGATCTTAGTTTAATATTGAAAGAAATAATGAATATTGTGAATATAATCAAATCTTACTAAATGTGTCTTTTCTTGTGTGTAAAGGAATGAGGAACAAGTACAATATTGTTTTCCCTGCTCATGTGTGCTGGCTGTTGAGGGAATAAATAGTCTCACAAATTATTGGAAATGAAGGATGAAATAAAAACATGACATGTATAATGTCAGTTACCATTTCTTTGATTTCAAGTTGCTAATTTCAAGTGATATTTGGTATTATGAGTAACCTGAATTCTTCAGAGACAAACAGCACTATTTTTAGTGAAGATATGGTTCAAGCAGAAAAACGTGGCAAAGTAGACAGGCTGTGAAATAATGACTACTTCTACAACTGGTCCAATGGGAAGTGTTCAGAAGATTTTTGTGGGTCTCAAATCTTTTTTTCTTGAAAAGTTATAACATTCAATTGCTGTTTTTACTTGTGAGTTTAAAGAATGATGTTTGCTCTCCCTGTCTGACCCATAAACCTGAGCCTACCAAACATGACTCTACTCTTATTTTTTTTAACTACACAATCTTTCTTTATCACAGATTATCACCTGTTTTCCTGGGTAATAGCAATTTGTATTATTTATCAGTTCTTGGCCCGGGATTCTAACCCCATTATTCATGAAAAATGACTGAAAGGCTGAAAGGACAGACAATAGCCTCTTCCCATTTTAGGAGATCACTGCTGCAGGACCGATCCCTCTTGGCCCTTCTGTTCATCAATTCTTATAACTATCAGGCCAGAGACTATCTAACTATTGGTGGATTTTTGTCTTCTGAATGTGTCTATTTTCCCCGGTCTGGTCCTTTTACTGCATGCAAGCACACAAATGTGTAAGCCTTAGAAAGACAATGGGAAACCAAGGTTGAACAGACATAAAATTTTTCAAATCCTAATCTCTGGGCCTGGAAAATGAAAAGGAAGAAAGGCTCTTTTTCTTCTTCATTTTAATTTTACAAATACTCTAAACTTTCAAGTATGAAATGTGCCTACTATGTAGTCAATGTAGAAATTAAGAATATTCCCTACCTTTCATAATCTAAAAGGAAAGGTACATAATAACTACCATACAATGTTGAATGTGATGAAGTGTCACAATAAAATAGTAGTAGTTACTATTTAGTGAGCATCTATTGTGTGCCAGGCACTGATCTAAGTATTTTACATGCATGAATTCATTTAATCCTCACAAGAACCCTATAAGGTAATCATTGCAATGACTATTTTATAAATGGGGGAAAAAGGTATACAAAGAAGTAACTGGTCCTAGGTCACACAACTAGTACCTTCAGTTGAAGTTGTAGCTTTTTTGGCCTTGAGTGACAAATAACTGCCATTAAAAGAAAGTAAACAGATTATCTGAAATGAATGCATGAAATGACTACCAAGCATCAGAATGCCATTAGTTTTCACTAATAACAAGCCCACCAAAGCAAAGAATTCTCAAAGAAGCAGATATATGAAATTGATTAACCATCTCCTTACAGGAAAAAAAAAA